CGTACCCCGTGACATGTCATATCTCTAGATTGTACCCCTCATTTAAGAAATTTAGTGAGTAACCGTATTGTTAATTTTACATATTGTAACTTTAAATTAAAGAAAAAAAACCTAAAAGAAAAAATGTATAATAAAGTTGTGATTGTTGCAAGGAACATTTTTTATCTAATAATTTTTTAATACTATTAGTTTGTGATACATAATATATTATTTTTTCTGCCATAATAACTAACTTTTTTCTGTACCCCTAAACAACCTATCGCATACCCCTAGGGGTACGTGTACCACAGGTTGGGAATCGCTGCTTTAGACTATCTTTAAGACTGTCAGTATATTTTTTTTTATAGATTAATGTTTGCATTTAGTATAGTTTATTTTTAAACATTTTAAAGTAATAAGTAATATTAACCTTTTTTTAATCATAGGTAAGTAATCATTCATAAAAATGACTAATGAAATACAGTGGTATCTCAGTACTCAAACGTTTCAGTATTGAACACAAAATGTAGAAAAAAAAATTGTTCGGTCCTTGATTGAACAAATGCAAACTGCTAAAACAAATTTTTATTTTGTCATACATAAAAAGTTTTTTTGGTAAAATATTGTTGCTGATATTTCTGATCTAGATCAAAAAAGGTCAGATGACAATAATACATTATAAAAAGAAAATGTGTTTAACTAAAATCAATATTAACACATAACCAACAATAATAACAATTTAAAGTACTGTATTAAGTATTGATTGTTTTAATAAACATATTTCTCTTAGTAACAAAAAAGAACAGTATACTTTTAATGTCCACATCAGTGGAGCATGTGGAAATTTTTAGAGGTGTGTGTGACAAAAACAGTATTGATCAGTTGCAGATTAAGTATAAAATAAGTTGTTATAACTTTTGAAACCTAACCCCCTGTTTTGTATTAGTCCTTTGTCTTGTATAGAATGGATTTGCATAAACATGACACTTTTTCGGAATGTAATCACCATGTTATAAGAGGGATACCTGTAAATAATTTTTCTGATACTATTTTTTCTAACTTTACTAACTAACTAATACTTTTCTAACTTTCCTGATGATTTCCGCTGTATAGGTTGCATGTTGTTTTTCTTACTGGTGTGAGACTAAAAAAAAGTTTGCTGACCACTGATCTACACATCTGAAGAAACTCAAAATCTCATTCTGAAATTTATATATAGGTATTTTAATAAATGTCAAACATAACTCAGTAAACTCTTGTGATACTAAAGAAGTTAAGAGAGCTTTTATTTTTTTTTTTGTTTATAAAAGCCATCTTCAAAGGCAAAATAGAGGTATATAGTTGTATCAATAAATTCCAATATATAGTTCCAGTTATCTTTTCTGATATAATTATATGCCAGTCTTGTTGTCAGAGAATTTGTAGCTATTAATTGTAATTTTTAATGCTAGTCTTAAAATAATTTAAATTTAAAATTTAAGGAACCTGCTATTATTACCTTTCAAACTTAAAATACAACTTTGAAAGAAATAATAGCAGTTTCAAATTATCCAATAATTCAAAATTAATCAGACTGAACTATATGTATATAAAACCAGATTTAGGATGATGTAATTTATAGTAATACAATAATTAAAAATTTAATTAAAAATTAAACATAGATATTTTCTTAACAGGAAACAAACATAATTTTTTTAATAAAAACTTTAAAAGAATATTGATATCCTGTGAATAAAATTTTCTTAATACAAAAAACAATTTATGACAAAAACTATTATAAATATAATACTTCTATGGATTACTGGAAAAATAATTTCTAAGATTTTTTAATCAAAGATTTCATTTTTCTTCCCTTAAAGATTTATAGTTATATACAAGATCAATGATACAATAACAAAACTAAAATTTATTCATGAAAGTACTTTTGCCTTTTACACAATTAATGGTTTTTCAATCTAAATAGAATATAGATTTATTATAGACTGAAGAAGTTAACTGAACATAAATAGCAAGAGAAATGAAAAAAAGGCATATTATATTTTAAATAAACAAACTTATGAAACAAATATTTTTATACCCTGAATCCATTTCTTTGAAATATCTGGAGCTGATAAAGTTATATCTTTCATATCCAAAGAGAGAGCCTAAAACAAAAATTCATTTTTATAAATAAATATTGAAGATAAATAAAAATATTTTATATTCAAAGCATTTATATGATTAGCTTTCCAATTCCACTTGATATAATTATTATTAACCTAATATGCTATCTGAAATTATTTAATCTTAGAAATAATTATAAATAAAGCAACAGTTAAACGTAAGATACCTATCACTCTTAAAATCTCTTAAAATGGAATTTCGTAGTTTTCTTTCTTTAATCTTGAAACAAATAATTTTTTAGCATTTAAAATTTGTTGCGATTTAATTTTTCCCATAAATTTTGTTTTTAATGATTTTATATACTTCCAAAAATAAGAAAAAAAAAAGTTATGCTTTTATAAATGAAAGATTAATATTTATCATATATATATATATAATTTAAGATTATTTATTATATATATGCTACCTGAATTGTTCATTAACCAATTATCAATTTACCATATGTTTGTATGGGAATTTGATTAATTGGTTCTGGAGACCCCAAAAAATAAAAAAAAATAAATATATATGCAGTCTTGCATTTTTATTAGTCATGTTTTTTGTTTGTGGGGTTAAAGAATCTGTCTAGTGTCGATTGCTTTTTTCTCTTCTTCAGGATTTTCATAAGTAATTAATAGCATTGTAATTGTAGAGATCCCCAAGCCTATTAACCTCAACCTGGTTTGTATGTCATTCTAAGACCGTTGATCTAACATCCCCCACTTCTTCAAAAAAATCTATAATTAATAGCAGATATCGGCATTAATCCTCTTTTTCATAATAAAACATATCTCGCTGAGTTTCTTCGTGTTCTCATTCAAGAGTTCTTAGCGTTCTTCTGTCGTCAGATTCGTTTCAGGTTCCATTATAAGCTCTTCAATGTTCTTTATTTCTCAGAAGTGATTTTTGTTACTCCTTTAGCTGCTTGAGTCTTCTTGATTATACTGTATCTTTCTTAGATAAGATTGAACTGCACCCTACTGTAGTTTTATTCAAGCCATACTGCCCAGCAACATCAGACATCTTCTGCCCACTCTCTACTTTTGCTATTTTACCTTCCAAAAATAAAACTAGATGCAAAACTTAGAGTCCCTGTCCGACAGTCTCGTGAATACTATAAAAGAATTGTTTCTGTCAGAAAAATAAAAGGCTGGAATTACAAGGGAGAGTTTCAAAGTTTGGAGGAATACTATCTTATGAGTATATTCCGGGTTGAGTGTTGATGTCTCCAATATATATACAGTAGAACCTCCATTATCCGGACCTCCATTATCCGGATTTTCGATTATCCGGATTGTTCAAAATAAACAAAAATTTTACGAATTTGCTGATTTGCACTTGGCGAATTACGACACTGTTTATGTTCATGATGGAATGCATAACTTTTTTTGTTTCAACAACGTCTCACCCATCACAGTGGTCGTAAACTCTTAAATATATTTTACGTAGTAATAAAAATATAACTTGACATACGTATTTATAAATAATTTATATTCAAATTACATCATTTCTATGACCAAGGGCGGCGTAAGGCATGGACGACGTGGGCCACCGCCTATGCCTGGCGGTCCGAAGGGCCTCGCGCCTCGAAGGTTTATGCATTACTTAAAAGCCGCGAACGCGACGAAAAAATTTTACTCGTCATAAAACGATAAATAGTTTATCAAATTTTTATTCATAAAACTGCAGTTTCAACTGATTTTTATTTTATAAAATCCGTCTTCTTGCGCCACTAGAGGGCCTTTTAAACAGTAGGTAGTCTGTTAGCGTTGGTCAGTAGTAGTCCAAATTCAATATGAATGTTTGTTTCTTGAAAATTTGATCACGATTTAAATACAGTATTTACTTTTAATATTGCCGATATGTCATCGAAAAGAAAACGTGTTGTATTATCATTAAAAGACAAATTAAAGTGTTTGTTTCGATTATCCGGATTTTTTCTTATCCGGACTACCTTCATCCCCAATTAGTCCGGATAATCGAGGTTCTACTGTATATATATATATTTATTTATAGAAATAATCTTAAATTCTATACAACTATTATTATACTGAATTTAACTGCACTTATGTTTCTTTTGGCTTAGTGTAATATATACTATACTCAATGACAAAATAATGGAAACTTTTTTGTTTTCAATTAAGTTCCATCCTTGATCACAAGTTTTCAAAAATTATTACTGTTTTCACAAATCTGTGTATAGTATTTAAAATTATATTGATTTTCCTTTGTTTTAATTCAAAAAATTTTTAAAAATAAATTTGTGTGCAGGACAAAATTATGGAAACTTTAAAAAAATTTAAAAAGCAATTTAATACTTTGTCTAGCTTCCTTTAATGAATCACAATACATGGCATGGTTTCAATTAAAGCATTTCAATTGTTTGTAATGCTTAGCCAGGCTTCTTCCACAGCAGTTTTCAATAATGTAGCAACTTGTGGACTTGTGGCTTTGCCTCTGTCAGTTTTTTCATTTTACCCCATATATCTTCTATAGGGTTCATATCAGCACTATTACCCTGGCCAATCTAATAGTGGAATTGACTGTTCTTCAATGGGTGTTTGGATGAACCAGCTAAATGGCATGATGTTCCATCCTGGTGATGAAAGTATTTTTTCCATCTTCCATTCCTGTAATAAATTTGAACAGTGGGACTTGAGTGATCTAATATTTTAATGTAGCCAGCTGAATTCAAAGTTTTTTCAGTTAAATAAAGTAAAAAATGTCATTAATGCAGATTGTGTTATAAACTATAACATAGCTGGAAACTTCACCTTCTGACTTACATAAGCTGCATGATGTTTTTCATGTGGATGGCAAGTAACTCGCAGCTGGCCATCATTAATTAATTAATGAAAAAATGACACTTGTTGTTTTCCATTTTTCAGCTTACCTGGGCAGATAAATACAAAACTTCCAAGTTTTGTTTTTATCTGTCCAGGTAAGTTTTTTCTTTGTGCACTTACAGTGCAAGCAGCATGAAATGAAACCATTTAAGAATGGTTTCTTCACTGTAATTCTTAAAACAAATGCTTAATTTTTTTAAATGCCAACCAGTAATTTTAGCTGACACACCTTTCTCAGTTATTAATTCCAGGTAGCAGTCAATCAATTGATGAAATTTCTTTTATTGGCTCTTACAAGACCTCAAAGATTCTTCTCTTTATTAGATGTAATCTTTTTTCTTTCTTGGCCAGGTTTTGTTTGATAGGTTTCAATTTTTTTTTTTATTGTTTTTCTTACCTTTAAAAACATGTGTATGTAGTTTTATCTGTTTGACACCATTTTTCCATTTCTTAACAACTAATTATCATATCTTATTTTATAATTGTTTTGAAGATGGCATTTTAGCAATTACACATTGATTTACACCATTAAATTTCAATTAAAAAAATAAAGATTCAATATTTTTGTCTCAATTATTAAGTTTCTATAATTTTATCCTACACAAATTTTATTTAAAAAATGTTTATATTAATTTTTTACAGTAAAATCAATTTACTATTAAAACAAAATTAAAACAATATAGTTTGAATTGCTATTAATAAATTTTGTGAAAACTAATAATTTTTGACAACTTGCAATCAAAGGGAACTTGACTAGAAAAAAAATGTCCATTTTTGTTGTTGAATGTATATTCAACAAAAAGTTGCAGTCATTTGCTGATTTTTAAATTAATGTAGGAAAATAAGATTAATAAGATGTATTCTAGTACTTTCAAATAAAAGTCTTCTCAGAAATACTGGAGTGAGAAATGAACTGCCACAAACAAAACCTTTTTTAACCAGTAATTGAACTTAAAACCAAACTTCCAAACGTTTTTGGCCTTCACCAAGGTTTGCTTCAGGTGTTAAACTAAACTGGACCATTAGAACGATGATGTTTGACTTTAAACTTTGTATATAAATCAAATTTCATCCTTCTGCTTGCCTTCATTCGAATTCCTCAAACAGGTATCTCCACGAATGCGCAACAGTCTCACCATCTTTAAAGTTAATAAAGTTGCCTTTTAAGTTGGTTTTATAAATTTGCAAGGCCTCCAGGTGATGAACATGTGAGGGATACATGATCATCAATCTGACCCTACAAACAACAGGCACACCACCATCTTGTCTACGTACACCACCAATCTGGAAGTTTGTGCAGACTTTCAGAACACCAGATTAATTAGGCAGGCCTTTCAAATAGACCATTTTCATCACTTGGAGGTCTTGGAAATTTATAAAGCTAACTTAAAAGGCAACTGTATTAACTTTAAAGACAGTGAGACTGTTGCACATGCGTGGAGATACTTATTTGAGGAATTTGAATGAAGGCAAGCAGAAGGGTGAAAATTGATATATACAAAGTTTAAAGTCAAACATCATCATTCTAATGGTCCAGTTTAGTTCAACACCTGAAGCAGGCCTTGATGAAGGCCAAAAACTTTTGGAAGTTTGGTGTTAAGTTCAATTACTGGTTAAAAAAAAGGTTTTGTTTGTGACAGTTCCTTTCAAATAAATTTTATATAAATATGTATATTAACAAGTTTATGGCACAACATCATAGATAATTTAATTGGCCAAATGTACTGTATTATATTGGAATTAAAATGGTGGGTGACAGTAAATTTTTGTCAGATATAATACCTATAAATATCTCATACAACTGCATGAATGAATCATGATACAAAAACAAATGTATTTGGGAAATTCCATTCTTGATTCCTTCTCCACTGCTTCAACATTCATAGTATTACAGGACATTAGTCTACAAAACCTTTTTTGAATTAAACCTTACTGAAATATAATTTAAGGCTTTTGATTGAAATGTTTATATAATTGTTATTGATATTACAGCACTAAACTATAATTGTGTTTGCTAATTTCTTTTTTATTTCTTTTCTTTTTCTCCATTTCAAAAAAGTAGTGTTTGTTGGTCATTTTCAGTCAGGCTTTAAAGCCAAGTCAGGTTTTTGAGAATATATCAAATGGTATTAATTTACATATATAGACTATTATCTTAGTCTAATTTCATACTCTACATTTTATCCTATAGTTATTATTCTCTAATTTTATTCATTATTATAACAATTATACTAACGAAAGTAAACAACAAATATTCCAATTTTAGCCAAAAGCACAATTCTCAAAAACCTTGAAAACTTAAATTCTTTGTTTACATTCTTTATTTACAATAGGAAATAATATATTTTACCTTTTTAGAATTTGATTCATTTAATTTTCCAGGACGAAGCTTTTGAATCGGACTGCGTTCTGGTTCAGTTTTTCGTGGAGCATATTGACTTATACTATCTTTTATACCTAATTTTTTTCGTGATGCTGTTAAATCACTATCAAATGCAATAGTAAATGCCATAGCAACTGGAGAAGATTCAGAATTTGCTTGCTCACTATCTTTATTTGAAACTTTCTGATTTCCTTCTTCATTTTTGCCATTATATAATTGAAGAATCTGCATTTCTAATGCAGGCAATTCTTCTTTTATCTGCTGTGAAATTTTCTGCTTTCCTTCAAATGGAAGCTTTTTCTCTTTACCATCATCTGGAAGAATAAAAATAATTAAATATAAAAAATATTTGACATATCTTTCACTTTTCTCTATTATAATATAATACTGAATATCCCAATTAATACTAAATGAAATATTACATATTCTTGAGTTTCAAAAAATTTGTGGAATTTGTTTTGTCTCATTATCTGTTTAATTTAAAAAACAATCATCATTATCATACTTTAAAAAAGTTATTTATTAAAAATGTTTTTTCTGTAATGTAGCCTCTCTAAAACTATTACAGAGAAGTCATTTCAATATAAGGATAGGAAATGAACATGTAAATTTAAAGTATATTAAATTTACATGTTCATTAAGTAACACTGTATGTTTTAATAAAAATATAAAAAACTATTCAGTTTATTATTTAAACTAATATCACTGGTTTTAACAATTTTTCATTTTTTTAGCCTTGTACACAACTTCTCTTTTATACACCATTACATAATTACACAAAATGCATTAAGCACTTATCATCATGTATTTATAATAAGAAAATATTACACTTAAACTGTAAGGAATTACTAAATAATATGTTATAAAACATAATATAATGAATTTACAATGTGATCATATTGTATTATTTACAATAGAATTCTCTCTTTGTAATAAGTGCAATTTGTTATGTAGGAAGGCTGTGCTTGGTATAAACATTTTTTGACTTAAATATTTATGCTTCCACTAATAAACAATATTGTAGACCTTTTATTTATCAGACAAAAAAATTTTTGTCCAGAAGAAAAAATAAAAAAAAAATTTTTTATTTATATATAGAGTATACGGTAGTGGAAACACTATCAGTTACATAATTTTAATTTAAAATGCTAAAAATTATATAAAGTTTGGTTCTGTTGCAAATTTATATTTTTAACAGATATTTTAGTGATGTGTATAAATTAATTATTCAATATATATTGTAATATTTTAGACTGAACACCACCTTTAAATATTTTTTTCTAGTAACACTACATACTCTTCATGTTTTACAATAAATTCCTTTTTTATCTTAATTTTCAATGCTACATCCTTTCTCTTTGTTGCATACATACTCTTCTTGGATATCATGGTTAATAGGTAGGGTTATATATAACCAAACACTAAAAATAAAGTGAAATAAGACAGCGAAAATATCTGAATGTAATGTAAGAGATGCTTTTATAGCAATAGCAAGAGCAAGAGATAATTGGGTACACAACAGATAGCATTTATGCAGCCAGTGCATTTTTTCACTGTGCATGCAGTTAGAATGTAGAAGCATTGTTCAAACTCTGGAACATTCAAAATTAAGAGTTTTTTGAAGTGTGAGATTCTGAACACCCCCTTTATTAATTGGAAATTGATATAAAATCCATAAATGTTAGAAATAATATTTCTGATTTAAATGAAAGAATTTTAAGTTGAAAACGAAGGAAACTGGTAAAATTCACTTCCTTCTCAACGGAAGTTCTACATCCTTTTTGTTTTCCCTTATCTTCACAAATTTTGAGTCACATACAGTCCAGTTGCCCTTCTGTAAACCCCACTTTTCCTAAACACGTGGGAATAATACAATTCTCTCATTGGAGAAAATCATCAAAAAAAGGGGATTCAGTATCATTCAGGGAATACACCACGAAATTCCATAGGAGAAGGACATATTCCATACCCGCTCCTCACGGCCAACGTCCATAATTGACTCCGAAGTTCATACAAAGTTTATTTCTAATTTCCAAAGTTAAAGAAAATGTTTATTGAAGTGTTGCCGAAGAATTAACCAAAGATAAGAACATTCGCATCTATCTGAAATTAAGAAGAAGATAAAGTATACTTTGAGATAGTATGATTTTAACTGGAAATGTGATCTGTCCCTCCACAAAATTATAGATATATATTGAAGATCAAATTTGTAAATTTTCCATCTTATTAATATTTTTATCTTTAAGTAAAGTCTCATAATGTCTGAATCAAAATATTTCATCCTCTCCATATTGATTCATAAACACGTGTTAATCCATGTGTAAAATAACTGATTAACTGGTATCTAGGATCCTGATGTTGGATAGAGACTTCGCAGTTAATATCCTTTTTATTTAAAGCCCACCTAAAAGAATAAGTGAGCCAATCTAACGATTGTGTGTCAGTAAGTGACATAAGCACATCTTATGCCCTGATTTCTCACAGAAGAATGAGGCACCATTATATTTAAAAATATATATATTAATATCAAAGTTATAAAGTACAGGATATATTAAAATAAGTTATAATTTATAACTATGAATGAAATATTATTAAAAAACCACTTCTATCAAAGCTGAAATTAATTTAGATTGAATACTACCACTAAATCTAGAGTCTACTGTAGCTTTAATCTAAGCAAGAGGTTATAAATTCTCTTATTAAATTTAAAATTTTAATTTTCAGAATTATTTATTTTTTTTAAAACAATCTTTTTAATATATTTTCTCACATCTTATAAGATGATTCTCTCTCCTGTAGCTCATTTAAAATAAGACTGCATAATAATTGATTTATTAAAAACAAATTGCATTCAAACAAAACTCAGACAATTATTTAATGTATTTGTTCATGTATTATGTATGCTTTCAAATTTGAGAATCTTTAAAAAATTAGATATTTAATCATTCTATTTTCATTTACAAATCTTAGAGATTATCACTATATTTTCTAAAATTTTTCAAATTTAGGATAATATCATAATAGGTAATTAAATTTGTCTAAGAATATAGAAAACATACTATATTATTATAAAAACAACAGAATAAATATTAATATTATAAATTATCTGAAAAAAAGTTATTCTTTGTCATTATAATGTTCAACAAAACCAATTCATCTCTGAAATCAGATTTTCAACTGTTCTCAGGGCTTACAGTAATAAGTTTAATTTGTTAGTCAAATTTTATGTTCCAATTAATATTATGAAATTATAAGATGCTTCACTCAATATCATGAATATGCTTCTAGGAACTAATCATATGAGGGACACTGTTAATTAATAACTGTTTTAGAAGTATTTTGTTGTTGATGTTCAATCAAAGATGCATTTTGGATATAAGCCCCTCATCAGTTAGATGTATGTTCAATTTTTTCCAAAATATTAACTCCAAGTGATACATTTTTAATCTAGAGTTCCATTGAATATCTGAATGACAATATTTAAAAGTGAGCGTTTTTTATAGTTAATTGTATTACAGATGATATATTATTATATCCAATATACATTAAATATTAAAAAATGATGATGTAGTTCTCATTTTAGCTTACTTTCAGATTTTTTATTAAATGTTATATTTTAGTATTATTTTTACACTATTATATAAAATATTTTGTTACTGAAAAGTTTAAGTTTTTAATGTTAACTTATATAATTTTATAACTATAGAATATTTTTGTTGATTGAACATAACCTTTTCAAATGTTAAATTGAATTTAATAATTTCAATTACATACCCATAGATTCAATTTCCTGAGATGTTTGAGCATTTAAATTTTGTTCCAGTGCACAATACATATTTCCTTTATCTTCAAGAAATTTTGTTTTCAAAGATTTATCAACAATGGGAACTTTCTCAGAAATGGCCAATGAAGGAGAAGTTGAAGAATTTTCTGATACAGATTGCTTTATGTCTTCCAAGGAATCTGCTTCATGGATTGAAGAATAAAGTTCACTTTCTCTGCTCTTATCTTGCTCAATTAAAAAATGCTTAGATTCAATATTATCTTTTGTAGTTTCTTCAAAATGTGCTGCCTAAATTAAAAAAGAAAATTTAAGAATTTAAAAAAAAAAAAAATACAAGTTATTTTAACCTGTAATTGATATTTAATTATTTAAGGTTAAAATAATCCAGATATATGCATCAGAATATAATTGCATTGAAGAAAACAATTGCATTTCTAGTATCAAAGCAATTCTGCTATAAAAGAAAAATAAAGTTTATTTACTTTATTATAAATTTAAAAATATTTACTTATTGTTTAATAAATAAATAAATAACTTATAAGTTATAAAACAATAAATAATAAGTAAGGCTTTAAATCAAAATCAATAATTTAATTAATAAATGAAATAAAATAAAATGAAAATCATATCTAAGTAAAATCACTAATCTAGTATTCCAAAATTTTGCGAAATTCTCAGACTCAACAAAAATTTTTAAATGTCATTCAACTATGACAATTACAAAGTACATTAAATGTATATGAAAAGCAAAAAAGATCTTTTTAAATAAATGTTTTATTTTCATATGATATATCTAAATTAGAAATTATTGAAATGTTTATCAAATTTCATACAATTAATACCAAAATTAAAAATTCTGTTACTTTTATTGAAAAATAAATTTAAACAAAAATAGACTATCTTAAATAAAAATAGACAAACACTGTTTAAATATGCTAGTTCTTCTTTCTGAAAAGAAACTTCAACTTCTATGAGTAGAATTTTTGCATTTATGCAAATATTTCAAAATGTAAATATCAATATAAAAATAAAATAACACTAAATTAAGATTTAAAATGTGTGTGTATGTTTTATATACAGTGGTGCCTCGTATAACGTACGCCTCGAATAACGGACTTTCTGTTTGGCCGTTACGTGACTTGAGCAACGGACAAGCTACGAACAATGGACTTTTCGTTTGGCAGTTACGTGAGGCAAACAACGGTCTTCCTGCGAACAAGTGCGAATGATGTTTCCACACTTTTGCCATTGCCAATGACAATCTGCTATTTTTATAATATATTAGTATTATTAGAATATATTATTAGTATATCTGAAGTACAGAGCTCCCGTTGGGATTCGGATTGCTCCCTTGTTTATTACGTACAGTACATCACTTCAGTGCAGAGTATCTACATTTATTCAAGTGTTGTGCAAATCATGGCTTCTAAAAAAACAGAAAGGTGATTTCAATTGAAACAAAGAAGAAATCATCAGGAGGAATGAATGTTGACAAAAACTTCCTTGTCAAATGGGGAGAGGTTCAAGATTTTACCAACACTCACTATCCAAACATAGCTGAGGCCAACAGGATCAATGATCTCTACAATGACACCCTTGCCCGTCATTTCTGACAGGTGTTGAAGAAGAGAAGAAACAGACCACCTTGGACATGTTTTTCAAGAAGCAAGCTGCCAAAAAACAAAGAATGGAACAAGAGGAGTTGACCCTGCAAGCTCTGGTAGCATCTCCTGAATCTGACTCCGATTAAAAAACAATAAAAAGAGACCTGCTGCAATGTGTAAAAAGTCTGTATCTGTATGAATGTGTGAAGAAAGTGTTCCTCCACCTCC